CCCCCCCCCCGGGTGTGTGTATGTCTGAGTACTTATGTGGGTACACATCTGTATACACATAGGGATGGGGGTTAGAGGTTTTCATTGTGTATCTTCCTTAATCGATCTTCATCTTTTTAAAAATTTTATATACACTGGTATTTTGCCTGCGTGTATGTCTGAATGAGGGTGTCAGGTCCCCTAGAACTGAAGTTATAGACAGTTATGAGCTGCCATGTGGGTGCTGGGAATTGAACTCAAGACCTCTGGAAGAGCAGTCAGTGCTCTTAACCACTGAGCCATCTCTCCAGCCCTCAATCTTCATCTTTCTGGGATGAGATCTTCCATTGAACCTTGCCATTTCAACTAGGCTGGCTGGCCAGCAAGGCCCAGGAATGTCCCCGTGTCCTCCAAGGTGCTGGGATTACAGACACAAGCCACCACACCTGGATTTCCATGTGCGCGCTGGGGATCTGAACTCAGGTGCTCATGCTTACATGGTGCACCCTGTGCTGTCTGAGCCATCTCGACCAAGAACGTCCACAGCAGAATGATGCAGCATAAAAAACAAAGGGCTGGAAAGCCAGGCACCACGGCTCTCACCTATAATCCCAGAACTCCAAAGACCAGCCTCAGCTACACGGCAATTTAGGAGAGCCTGGGCTACATGAGAAGGAAGGAAGGGAAGGAGGGAGGGAGAGAGGGAGGGAGGAAGGAAGGGAGGAAGGAAGGGAGGAAAGGAAGTTTATTCTATTTTTAACCCCGAGTGACTGCTTATCACACAAGGATATAACTTGTTCTGATTTACTGTAGTCCTGTAACTGGCACACAGCTGGTACCTAGCAACAACCATCTCTCCTCCCAGCATCATTCAAGGACTTTATCCGCTGTCCTGTCCTCAAGTGCCACCTCTGGAGCTCATGTGCTTCAGAATGTAGAGGGATGAGAGGACCTGCCGAGGAAGGGAAGTGGACGTGCCGACTGTCATCTCTGTTTCACTAAGGTGGAAACAGCTTAGCCGAGATCTCAGAGCCCCTCAGTGGCAGACGTGTGTCTGAGCCCATGTCTCTCTGACTTCTAAAGGTCTACTCCCCTGGGAATGTGCACATCTTGACTTGGTCTGATGGGTCACTGAGCTGGAGGTGGGTGTCACCATCCTAGAGCAGACCAAAATGATGACAAAGGTATGTTGGCAGTGGAGACCAGTCCTGGGACAGGGCACAGTGGCCTTCAGACCAGAGCCAGGACAGGCTCCCAGAATGCCTGCCACACACCACGTGGCCTACTGTCCAACTGATTCCAGCACCCACAGAAGCCTCTATCCCTTGCTTCCCAGTCCCTACCCACTGGCAGAAACTAGAGGAAGGAGCTGGACCCAGAGGCATGCAATTAGGATTCCTGCTCGGAACCGGCCACCTCTGCCTGCCAGGCAGTGGTTGATCAGGGCTTGTGAGAGCCTGTGATAGTCTTTGTATCCAAGCACCAACTGAGTTGCCCTTGATGACTGGGGGAAATTAGGCAAGCCCAAGTCTTAGCTTTTTTGCATCCCAAACACAGCAGGGTCCACTCGCACCCCAGAGAAGACACTGCATCTTACCAGAAAGGGCCCTCTCCTAAATTGCTCCTTCCTCCATGAGCTTCCTGCAGGTAGCAGAGTGCACACAGGGAGCCTGACTGGCCTCGTTCCCCTAACCTAACCTTCCCTTCCCTTCTCTTCCCAGTTCAGTCTGCTTGATCCTCTTCCCGGAAGCCCTCTCTGGGCTTGCATTCTGTGAACTTGCCTGCCTCGAACTCAGCTCCACACATCTCATCGTCTGTAAAGGTGTTGGGGGCGGCCTTTAAGGAAGGGCGGTGGTCATAGCGTGCATGAGAGTCTCTTTTGAACTGCTACCTGAGGGCCAGGATGCTCATGCCCTTAGGAACTGTCACTGCTTCCTCCAACCATCTTTCTCAGGCAGTGGAACTCAAGGTACTGGAATCAATGTGTGGCGTCATTCTGTGGGCAACGTTAGAGCCAGAGCTTCCTCTCATGGCATATTTTCTCGTCTGTGAGATTTCCTCCTCCCTGTACTGTTCTTCTACCCTGTGTACAGAAAAGTGCCTCACACAGACAGGTGCTCCATGGGTGAGGGTGACAGGGGAGTGAGGGGTAAGAGTTTGGGACATGGATGGATGGATGGATGGATGGATGGATAGATGGATGGATGGATGATGGATGGATGGATGACGGATGGATGGATGACTGGATAGATGGACCACTAGAAGGATGGATGGATGGATGGATGGATGGATGGATGGATGGATGGATGGATGGATGGATGACTGAGTAAATAGATGGACCACTAGAAGGACAGAAGGATGGATGGATGGATGGATGGATGTCGGTGATGGATGGATGGATGGATGGATGGATGGATGGAGGTCGATGATGGATGGATGGATGGATGGATGGATGTCGATGAGTTGGAAAGGGAGTGGCCACCTGGTGCGGATAGAGGACGTGGTAGATGGGTTCATAGGTTCACCAGTACATGGATAAGGATACAGGAAAGGTGGTTGATGATGACTAGGTAGGTGAGTGGATGGATGGGTCAGCCAAGGCATAGAGAAGAACCCAGGAGGAAGGGATGGTGGGGGTGGGGAGTTCTGGTAAAGGATCCGGTGGTGGTAAGAAGGTAAGCTCTGGGGCAGGGACAGGTTGGTGAGTGAGTGGGAAGGTGTCTAACTGGGTGCTTGGTCTGAAAGAAATATGGAGTGTCAACCAATAGGCAAGAGGGTATACTTCAGACTGGATGAAGTGTGGTGGAGCACCCCTTTAATCTCAGCTCCTGGGAGTCCGAGGCAGGAGGAACTCTGTGAGTTCAAGGCCGGTCTGGTCTACATAGTGAGTTCCAGGATAGCCAGGGCTATATAGTGAGACCCCATCATTCATTCATTCATTTTTGAGACAGGGACTCACTATGTAGTCCTGGCTGTCCTGGAACTCACTGTGTAGACCAGGCTAGCCTCAAACTCACAGAGCTCCACCTGCCTCTGCCTCATACGTGCTGGGATTAAAGGCATGTGACATCACATCTGGCTTGATACCCCATCTTAAACAAACAAACACCTGGGTGAACTAACTTAACTAGCAAGTGGAGATTGTACATACGCGAGTGTGCATACAGGAAGGACAGAAGCTCACCAGGACCGTTCATGTGGTCACAGTCATGACTTACATGAGATTCTCTTGTGAATTGCTGCCATAGGCCAGGATGCTTGTGCCTTTAGGAACTGCCTCTGCTCTCTCCAATCATGCAGTATGTTTGAATAGAGAGGCGGGTGGATGGGTGTAGGGACAGACAGAAGGGTGGATGATGATGGATCAATTGATAGATGAATAGACTTAAGATTGGATCAGCTGACGGATAGGTTAGTTGCATACAAAAAGGTGTGAGTCTGTGTGTGCCTGTGTCTGTGTGTGTCTGTGTGTGTGCATATGAGAGCTATAATATTTCAATGGAGGGATGAGCCAATGGATGGACCAATGGATGTTGGACAGACTGATGGAAGGATAAAGGAAGGCGGAAGGAGTGGGAGGAATGAGTAGGGAGAGGGAAGGCAGGCAGGCAGGCAGGTAGGCTGGTCTCTATCAGACCCACGTCATGGTGGGAGTCAGGGCAGTGGGTGCTCCTGTGCATTGAGCATCTTGTGAGCAGATTTGCTCAGGGCTCCCAGACCTTCTGCACATTGGGTCCCTTGCCCAGCTCCTCCTTCCTGAGTCCAGGGTCTCCCTGGCGATTGTTATGCTTAGAACTGGTGTTAGGAGGGAGACAAAGGAGCAGCAGACACAGGGCCAGCAGGAAGGAGGGAGGCCAGCAAGCCGGGCAGCCACTGGGCAGCTGCTCTTCTTGCTCAGCTCCCAATGAGCGCAGAACAGGCCGTGCATATTTCTCCTTTGAACAGGGAGCTGACATTAATGAACAGCTAATTAACATCTTGGAGTGTGATGGTTCCTGTGTCAGTGTCCCTAATTAGTCTCGAGTTAATCTGCTTTAATTAACTGTCCCTGTCGTGGTTTTAATTTAATTTTCAGCTTCAGCCTGGGATGGCAGCCCTGTGTGCATTCTGTCCCAGGGCTCTCGTGGCCAGGGCAGGGTGGCTGGCCACAGCCAGCTTCTCGGGGCCATTATCAGATGGCTTAAAGTGGGTAGGGATGGAGACCTAGAGTCTGGCTTCTCCCCAGCCCTGGGAGGTGACAGCTTGGTGATAAGGTTTTTCTTTTCCCTCTCTAGGAAGTATTCTCAGGTGGCCAAAAGCTCCCAGAACATTCTTAAATAGGGAGCACTGTCTGTAGCTTTCTTAGTCTTAGGCGGGCACCATAAGCCTATCATGTTTTCTAGACACGGACTCTGGTTGAGGAAGATTCAGTCTAGTTCTCAGACTCCAGCTGTGTGACCTTAAGGAAAAAAACTTGACCTCTCTGAGATCTGTAAAATGGAGCCGATAATCTAAGTATCACCATCTTGCTCCCTCCAAAGATGTGATTTTACAGGGATGGTCTTCACACAGCCAGCTCCCCTCAGGGTCACCCAGAACAGACAGAAATTGGGTCTCAAGACGAGCGGGCTGGGAAGGGATCCGTCTCAAGCATGAGAGGGTCTGGGAGCAGAATTCGGGACAGACAGATCCAGTCAGATTTCCATCTTCCCCCAGGCCCCTCAGTGTCCGCGGGCCTGCACTTTGTCCCCACCCAAAGGTAGAACAGATGTGTAGACGCCTCAGAAAGCCCCATGCCTGGAACAGGAGAACAAAGTGGGGACGGATGCCTGTCCACTGGGGACAGTTGAGGCCTCTCTCTTTCTCACAAGGAGGTTGTGTCTGCCCTGGGTACAAGAGCCCTTGAGGCAGGAAAACAGTAGATCAGGCTGCTGGTCTGGTGGGAAGTAGCGAAATGAGGATCCTGTGAGAGGAAGCTGGGGGGGCGGGATAGGAGAGCTCTGGGGCCTCACCAGGATCCCCCTTCCCCCAGAGCAGCTGAGAACTGAGGCAGGAAGCAGTGAAGGAAGAAAACCCGCCCCCCCTCAACGCTCCTCCCCCCTCAACACTCCCCCCCTCAACACTTCCCCCCCCCCTGCCCCCGTGAGGTCTGTGTGTTAGCCAGCATGTGGAGCTAGCTATCACTCTGAGGGCACTAGGGAGCCACACCAGGTCTTTGAACAGGAGGTGACATGATCAAGTGATGGACAGGAAGAAAGCAGGGAGGCCCGTGATGAGGATGCTGTGGTCAAGTCTCGTCAGATTGAGAAAAGCTCCCAGAGAGAGCCAGCCAGTGTACATGGACTGCAGACTCTGAGGAGGATGGGGTGCGTGCCTCTCTCCCCTCAGGACCTCGGGCTTTGGGCATGTTTGGAGTTTGTGGCCCCCCTCCCACTTTCTCACACTGAGATCTGCAGACCCTGCCTGGGAAGGGGGTGTCAGGTATATTCCGGGGGTTCAGGAAACCTAGGAGAATTTGATTTCGGTGTTTAGATGTTGAGGCTGATACAATTCACCTTGGAGAGCTCTGCAGCAGCCCACTTTCCCAGGGACCGTGCGAAGGGGAGCACCCTCCCCGCCAGGCACCTTCTCAGGCCACAGCCGGAGGCCTCCCAGTCCGGGCAGAACACCCTCTGTTCTGTACGGAGCCAGGCCTTGTCTAGCTTTGGAAAGGGCCACCTTGGACGTTGTCACCAGGACACTGAGTCCTGCTCCCTCAGCACAGCCCAGGTCCGAACCCCACCCTGTTGGGGATTGAAGCAAATTCTTTCTGATGGCCCCCTCAGCCCCTCCCCCTGACTTTGACCTCCAGTTGACCTCTGCCTCCAGTCCACCTGAGCCAAACCAGTTTTTCCTGAATTCTCAGTCAGTGAGTGTTCAATTCAGGGGCTCACTGGAGCAGAGTCCTGGGAAGGAGGGACCCTCCTCACCTTTGCCTCCTTCCTGCCCCTTCGTTCCTAGCATGTTGCTCATCCACTTCAGACAGGCCACCTGGTGGACACAGCTCTGGGTCCTGAAAGCCCAGGGCTCGTCTCGTTTTGAAGTTTGTGGCGCCCCCCTCCCACTTCCTCCCACTTGCCTGTTTCTGTGGCAGGGCCAGGAATTGCCTTGATTTCTATGTCCAGGCGTCCAACTCCAGGAGCTCAAACCCTGCCCTCCTCCCTGGAGTTCTTGGCCAGGGCCATGGACTAGTGACTAACCAGCTTGTGACTCTGGGCTTCATCTAAATTTTCCCCCCTTACCTCTGGATCTCTTAAAAATTTTTGTTATTGTTTAGAGACAGGGTCTCCTGTTGCCCAGGTTGGCCCTGGACTCAATATTTAGCTGAGGTAACCTTGAACTCCTGAATCTCCTACCTCCGCTTCTCAAGTCAAGCATAACCAGCTGTGGTGCATCTCTTGAAGTTTCAATTTTATACCTGGGCACCAGACTCCTGAGCATCCTTTAAGCCTGCCCTCCAATTCACAAGAACTCGAGCGCGCCCTCCCCACCCCCCACCCCTGCCCCATGAGCCCGCCCCTCTGAACCTGCTCTGATGAACATTCACCAACCCCATCCTGGCAGGAAGAGGCCAGAGGGCTCTGGCTGGGGAAGCCAGCCGGGACCTTTCTGAAGGAATCTTGGACCCAGTGGGACCTCCCAGCAGCCAGGGATTGGCAGCCCAGGCCCTCAGCCACACGACAGTACGGTTGTCTGCTGTTCCAGCCACACAGTAGAATGTTAAGATCTCAGGCAGGCAGGAGTGTTAGCATGTTACAGGCCCAGAAAGGTTGTAATCATGGGATTGTGACTCAACAGCCGTGTAATCACAGAAGCTTCTGGAAGAGTTGAGAATGTTGCAAGTGCAAAAAGGTCATAATCATAGAATTAGAGAATTCTACAACTGCAGATTATTAAAATTGTAGCTTATAAGCAGGAATTTGAGAATGTTACAATCACAGAACTGTGAGGGGTTGTGCAGAATGGGCACGCGGGACATCCTCTGCAGACTTAGCGGCAGGAATCACAGGATGCTAGCATTTCATAATGTCAGAATCCAGAGCTAAAGAGCATTTCTTTGTGTGCATGTGGTTGCCTGTGTGTGTGCTCGCCCGTGCAAGTGGGTGCACGTGGAAGCCAGAAGAAGTTGGGTGCTGTCCTCATTTGCTCTCCGTCTTGTGTTTTATATGGGGTCTCATTGTGTTAGGACTCAGGGGCACGCCTGTTTGCACACGTGTCGCATCCCAGTGCCTTGCTGTTTCCATTAGGCTGGCCAGCCAGGGAGCCCCTAGTGTCTGTCTGTCTGTCTGTCTAGGCACAGCTCTGGGGTTACAGTGGGATTATAATGCCACCACACCTTAGCTTTTTTTTTTTTTTTTTAAATACACAGTCTAAACTCTCAGCATCTTTCCATTTTTCCTTCTGTTCTCTCTTTTCTCTTTCTCCTTTCTGTGGTTTTCTCTTTCTCCTGTGTTGCTGGGGATCTAGCCAGGGCCTTGTACATGCTAGACACATACCTGGCCATCCAGGCTGCAGAATGGAGACTACTTCATTCTATGTTACAGGGTCCCATCAAGAATTAGTGATCAGGGTCTGGGAATGCAACCTACTATGCACCAAGCCCTGGATTCCGTTCCCAATACCACAGAAACCAACTGTGGTAGTGTATTCTTGTAACCCACTCTGGGGGTGGACGCAGGAGGATCAGGAGTGCATGGTCATCCTTGGCTACATAGTGAGTTCAAGGCCAGCCTGGGCTATGTGAGACCCTGTCTCTCCTACACACACACACACACACACACACACACACACACACACACACACACACAATGTCTTGTGTCAGATGCTGTGCAGAGCTGGTAACGTGGCCTAGTCTAGTCCTTCTGGCAGGGCCAGCTGGGAGGCAGGACCGGGCCCTAGAGTCTTGGCAGGGAATGTGGGTGCTGTTGCCTGGGCCTGTACCTGGCCCCTTTGTGCCCCTCACACACCCCGGGGGAGAGGCCCAGCAGGTCAGCAGACTGTTTTTGTAAAGTATGCCCGAGGGGCCTGCCGGGTCCAGGGGTGCTGGCACTGACTTCCAGCATGGGCAGGAGCCTGCAGCCTGGTCCCACCCAGATTCCTCGCCAGGGTGTGTGGGGGCCTCTCTGGGGGACCCTGGGTGCATGACATCTCCCCAAGGCGTGTGTTGTCTCTGCCCGCATCCTCCCGTCTGCTGCACACACGGCCATGTTGACTTTCATTCAGTGTGTTTCCCACCGTTCATTCATGGACTTGGCCGTTTGTCATTTCCGTTTATCTTTGCAGGGTCAGATTGTGTCCTGGGTACTGGACACGAGAGAAGATAAAGTCCTTCCCTAAAGAAACAGAAGCGTGAAAATACTATGAAAGTGCTGTGAGGTCAGAGGGCATTCTGGAAGCCTCCCTGGAGGAAGGGCAACAAAAGTGATAAGATCATTTCGGGCCAAGGAAGCAGCAGGGACAGAGATTCATAGATAGCCATGTGGGGACGTGTTCAGTTGTCATCAGGAATTGCTCCTTGGTCAGCAGTAGCACAGTAGGAAGGGCTGAGATGCTGAGAGAGGATGCAGCTAGGCTGTAGGGCTGGGATTGTGAGCTCCCAAAGGCTATGACCTCAGCTGGCAGAGAGAGTGTTGCTTACAGTTTTTTTTCCCTTCCTTTAAGAATGAGCAATTCCTCAGGCCGTGTGGACCAGCCCTGGGGCAGGCGTGCTCTGCAAACAGTAAGGGTGGCAGATGAGAGCTGGCCATGGGACTTCTGTCCACAAGTCTGGCAGCAGACACCCAGTACTGGGAGGGAAGGACAGGGCACTCTCGGGTCCTAAATGAGACCACAAAGGGGCCACAGGATGCCCTTGGTTCTGAGCTGTCTCTGCAAAGGTCTGCTGAGCCCAGAAGGCCACACGTGCAGGAAAGGGGCCAGGAGGCCTTTGCCAGAGGAGTTGGGCAAATGGCATTCCCTGTTTGCAATGTGGCACTAATAACAGGACCTTCCCGGCCAGGCCACTGCAAGGAGACAGATGCCCAGGACCTAGAATCCACAAAGGAACATTCCTCCAGGAGCTGGGGAGATTGCTCATCTGGAAAAGTGTTTGCCTGAGTTCCATCCCTAAAACCCATATTTAAAAAAAGAAAGGGAAACAAAAAAGCCAGGGATGATGACACACGTGTACCTGTAATCCCAGCACTGGTGTGTGTGTGTGTGTGTGTGTGTGTGTGTGTGTGTGTGTGTGTGTGTGTGTGTAGACAAGCGGATCGCCCAACCCAACTTGGTGATTTCCATGCCAGTCAGAGACCGGTCAAAAACCAAACAAACATGTGGATTGTACCTGAAGAACAACACCAAAGATTGTCCTCTGGTGCACGCACATGCGCGCGCACACACACACACACACACACACACACACACACACACACACACATCAGCATCTTGCTAGCAGGAAAACAGGCCCTGGGGACTCCAGCCCACCCTTCAGAGGTAGTCCCCACAATTGTCTGCTTACCCAGAGGCAAAAATACTCAAGGAAGGAAGACAGGTCGGGCTCAGTGTTGGCTGTGAAGGACGAAGCCAAGCCTGTGAATCTGACCTGGATGCCAAGGCAGGTGAGGTGGTAGCCCCAAGACTCCCCCAGGCCCCACAGACAAGCCCTTCACTCTGTTGAAGGCTTGTGGCACCCTTGAAGGTGTGGGGCAGTGGCAGGGCGGGTGAGGCTGGGCATCGGGTGAAGCCATCCTCTTAAGTGCCACACAGAGTGGCAGGGACATACATGAGCACTAGATCCAAACACAGAATTGGCACAGGGAGTTGCTGCACCCTGTTACCTCACCAACCCCACCCCATCCCCTGGAGGGGCCAGCATGTGGAATAAAAGCTTAGCTGTGGGCATGACCTACTCAGGTGTGCTACAGACATGAGTGGGCATCCTAGGCCCCGTGTGGGAATCATCTAAACTCAGCACTCCATTCACAGAAGGCCACTATTATTCCTATTTCATAGATGAAGAGACTGAGTCCTAGGAGCCTGAGTGGCTTCCCTAATGTCAGTCAGATCCAGGTAGCAGGCCAGGGCTTACAAGTCCAGAGCCTAGCCGGGTGTGGTGGCCCACACCTTCAATCCTAGCACTTGGGAGGCAGAGGCAGGTGGATCTCTGTGAGTTTGAGACCAACCTGGTCTACACAGTGAGTTCCAGGACAGCCAGGGATATGGAGAGAGCCCTGTCTCAAAGAAAAAAAAAATCCAGAGAGCCTCTATACAGCACCATGCTGTGTTCACAGAGACAGCATGAATTGAGCCTTTAGATGCATATAAGACAGTGTCCACAGAGTGTGAAATCTGGGCCCCACAGTGATTCTTGTCTGGTCCCGGCCAGATTCCAGGAAGATCTGTAAGGCTACTCTCCTCCAAGGCTCAAGGTAAGCTCTGTTAGGCCCATATAGAAACCCAGGGCTGACCACGATGGCTTCCAGAGGGGGCCTAGCCATCCCTCTAGCCACAGGTAGCCCAGATTCCATTAACCTGATTCTCTGCCCCACATAAGCCTGCAGAGGGAGCCCCAGGAGGGAGGGGTGCTGGGGAGGAAAGAATTTGGCTTCCCCAGGCCCCAAAAGAACAGCCAACAATGCTCGTTTTCTCTCCCGTGGTCCAGGAGGGCCTGCAAGGCCCCCAGGCCCTTTGAGCAGGGAGTAAGGAGAGAGATGGGAATCTGGGCTGGGGTGCTGCAATGGGAGCGGGTGCATGCCACCAGAACACTAAGCCCTGGCTTCCCTTGCCCACCTAGCCACTGTGTAGACCTGGGTAAGACCTCCTTGATAGTATGGGCAGCCAGTGCCACCTCTGTTGCTAGGCAGATTACCCAGCACAGGGTCCAGTACCAGAAACTGTTGCTGCTACAGTAATTTAATCCTTAAAACTATTTATTTGGGGGAGGGGGAGTGCATAAGTACACCATGGCAGAGTTGGTTCTCTCCTTCCATTATTTGGGTCCCTGGAATCAAATGCAGGTTGTCAGGTTTAGTAGCACTCTCCCTTACCTGCTGAGCGGTCTCACTGGCCCCACCACGGCTGTAATTTAAAAATCTTGACTGCAGATGGCCTTACTCAGCCTGAGAGGCCTCTCCCTGCCCATTGTCCAGCTGGCGGCTCTTGGCGCTTTGGCAGGGCATGCAGCTCTCTTATAGAGAGGTTAAAGGTACTTTCTCAGAATCACAGAGCTCCCAACTTTTGGTCTGGGATTCGACCCCAGTGATTGTCACACAGTAGGCTGTCCTGGGCAGGCCACTCCTCTTCAGTCCGGCTGGTCTTTGTTCCCCTGACAGGAGTCAGAACAGTGTCTCTTCTTCCAGGAATCCCCCTTGACTGCACTAGACCTCATTAAGCATACCTCTGCTCCCACACAACCTCTAGCCTCCATCAGAGCATTGGGCGAATGCTGTCCCAATGTCTGAGCCTCTGAGGCCCAGCCATGCTCTCTGTGTGGGAAAGGGCGACAGTGAAGGCTTTGTAAACGACTGTCTCTGAGCTCACGGAGAGGCGTGCACGTAGACTCAGTCATGCATGTGCATTATGCAGATATGGCCTCCAGAGTGGGGGAGAACCTTCTAGAATGGGAGGGATGGAGCTGGTGTGGACAACCCATCTCCCCACCCCCACACAAACATATAAAATTACTAGCATCGATATTGACATGTGCTTGACAGCCCTGGGTCTCTTTCATGTTTTTCTATTCAGGGAATATTTCTAT